ATATATATATATATATATATATATATATATATATATATATATATATATATATATATATATATATATATATATAATATATATATATATATTATATATATATATATATATATATATATATATATATATATATATATATAAGATTATTACATGATTTTGCGTGATAATGCACTCATCTTCTTTAATTAATAATTAAAAATCTATGTGATTATTTGCAAAATGATAGAGAACTTTTTTATTCAATTTGACCTAAAGTATAAGGACACGACGGCAGTCGCTATTATAACTTATTTACCATATCCTACATGATCATTCACAAATTTTCTATAATTAATATCTCGATAATTATTGCGAATATCGCAAAATAGTATAGGACTTTTATGTTCACCTCAAACTGTTCTACGTCCTCACAAAATGCCCGGAGGAGAGTGTGAGACACCCTGTATATATAGGATGTCTCACAACCACCATAAGATATTTAATAGCGTATTCTAAAGATAAAGTAGAGTAAAAAATCCTAATACAAAAATATCGAGGCTACAATAGTTTTTTAATTATAACCGATCAAAGATTACCAGTAATATTGCGTAGAATTTGCGCGCTCAAACACGTAGTTAAACAGCACGCACACAGCACATACACTTACCTTTTAGCAATGATGTGTAAATAGCTGATTTGGAGGCAGAGTAATAAGCGATACGTTACTCCGCCTTGAAATCAGCTATTTACACATCGTTGCTAAGAGGTAAGCCATTTTTTTTACACACAGAGCCTGTCCTACCGCTTGTAATGAGCTCATTCGTTTATACATTTTAATTAATTACGGAATATAAATATTGAGAAAATTTCAAAATGGTATATAACTTTTATGATTATTTTGACCCGTTCTACCCGTATACGGCGGTTGTTCGATCAGTTACCGAACAACCTATATATTAGGACCTTAACTTAGTTTCCGCCCGCAAATGTTAGATGGCAATGCAAACAGTTCTAGTAGTCATTACTAACGAAACAGGTAGTTTGTGATTAATTTCGACATTTCTCGATAACATTCAGTCAGCATACACAATTATTTTCCTAAACAACAATTTCTTTTGCTTTGTGA